TTTTTTTTTTTGGTTGCAGTTGTCATTGTTTAGCAGGCCTGGGCCAGGTTTGAACCCACCAGCCTCAGTGTATGTGGCAGGTACCAAACCTGAACTTTGAAAACATTAGGTGAAATGAAAGAAGAGAGTAGCAGGTGGGTGCAGTGGCTCACACCTGGTACTTCAGGAGGCCAACATGAGAGAACTGCTTGAGGCCAGGAGTTCGAGACCAGCTTGGGCAACACATTGAGCCCGTCTCCACAAAATATTTTACAAGTTAACCAAGTGTTGTGGCATGCAGCTGTAGCCCCAACTACTGGCAGGCTAACGCAGGAAAATCACTTGAGGGCAGAAATTAAAGGTTTTAGTGAGCCACTGTACACTAACCTAGGCAGGACGGGGTGGTTCACACCTGTAATCCTAGCACTCTGGAAGGCCAAGACAGGTAGATAGCTTGAGCTCACGAGTTTGAGACCAGCCTGGGCAAAAGCGAGACCCCATCTCTACTAAAAATAGAAAAACTGGGGCGGCGCCTGTGGCTCAGTCAGTAGGGCGCCAGCCCCATATACAGAGGGTGGCAGGTTTAAACCCAGCCCTGGCCAAACTGCAACAACAACAAAAAAAAATAGCTGAGCACTGTGGCAGGTGCCTGTAGTCCCAACTACTCCGGAGGCTGAGGCAAGAGAATCGCCTAAGCCCAGGAGTTGGAGGTTGCTATGAGCTGTGATGTCACAGCACTCTACTCAGGGTGATAAAGTGAGACTCTGTCTCTACAAAAAAAAAAACAACAGAAAAACTGAAGCAAGAGGATCACTTGAGCCCAAGAGTTGGAGGTTGCTGTGAGCTATGATGCCACAGCACTCCGTCCAGGGCAACTGCTTGAGACTCTCTCAAAAACAAACAAATAAAGTGAAAAAAAAAAAAACCCACAGATTTTATAATTCTGTTTATATGAAATATTCAGAATAATCAAATCCATAAAAACTAAAAGTATATTAGTAGTTGCCTAGGGCAGGGGGAAGAAATGGGGAGTAACGGCTAAGGAGTATGAGGTTTCTTCTTTTTTTCAGTTTTTGGCCAGGTTTGAACCGGTCACCTCTGGTATATGGGACTAGCGCCCTACTCCTTGAACCACAGGAACCGCCCATGTTTCTTCTTTTTTTATTTTGATAAAAGTACATCACTGGCTGGGCCTGGTGTCTGACCCCTGTAATCCTAGCATTCTGGGAGGGCTGGAAGGAGGATACCTTGAACCCACTTTAACCATTTTTTTTTTTTTTTTGAGACAAGAGTCTCACTATCTTGCCCTCAGAAGAGTGCCATGGCATCATAGCTCACAGCAACTTCAAACTCCTGGGCTCAAGCAATCCTCTTGCCTCAGCCTCCCAGGTAGCTGGGACTATAGGTACCGGCCACAACACCTGGCTATTTTTAGAAATAGGATCTCTTAGCTGGTACCTGTGGCTCAGTGAGTAGGGTGCTAGCCCCATATAGCGAAGGTGGCAGGTTCAAACCTGGCCCCAGCCAAACTGCAACAACAAAAAAATAAATAAATTTAAAATTTAAAATTAAAAAAAAAAAAGGAAAGAAAAAAATAGGACCTCTCTTTTGCTCAGGCTGGTCTTGAACTCCTAAGCTCAAGCAATTCACCCACCTTGGCCTCCTAGAATGCTGGGATTACATACCTGGCCCCACTTTAACCAATTTTTTTTTTTCTGAGACAGAATCTCAAGCTGTCGCCCTGGGTAGAGTGCCATGGTGTCAAAGCTCACAGCAACCTCAAACTCTTGGCCTTAACTGATTCTATTGCCTCGGCCTCCCAAGTAGCTGGGACTACAGGCGCTTGCCACAACAACTGGCTATTTTGTTGTTGTTGTTGCAGTTGTCACTGTTGTTTTAGCTGGCCTGGCTGGGTTCAAATCCGCCAGCCTCTGTGTATGTGGTTGGCGCCCTACCCACTGAGCTATGGGCGCCACCAACTTTAACTATTTTTTTAATTTTTTTTTGAGACAAGAGCCTCAAGCTGTCCCCCTGGGTAGAGTGCTGTGGCATCACAGTTCACAGCAACCTTCAACTCCTGGGCTCAAGTGAGTCTCCTGCCTCAGCCTCCCAAGTAGCTGGGACTACAGGCACCCGCTACAATGCTCGGCTATTTTTTTGGTTGCAGCCGTCATTGGCGGGCCCGGGCTGGATTCAAACCCACCACCTTAGGTGTATGTGGCTGGCGCCTTAGCTACTTGAGCCACAGTCACGGAGCTGGCATTACTAT